TGGTTTCCTAAATCTTAAATCTTCTTTGAAGTCACACAAGAAGACTCATGAAAGAGGCTGAAATGCTCATTTTATGCTGAAATAGCATTGTTTTGTTGATTATAAGTTATGTTTCTGTGCTTGGTCCTTATTTTAATGATAAAAAGTTATTTTATTGATATTTTTATCTCATATGCATAAGATCCTTATCTTAATGATAACATTCTATTACTGTTGTTATTTATCGGTTGTTTATACGTTATTCACTTTTTTATCACATATACATAATAGCATCGTTCTTTTTCCATCTCTTTGCTGTTTCTTTCATTTTAGTGAATAAAATTATCAGTTTTGTATTTCTTTGCAGATCTGCTAAATTAATTTTTCGTTATTTGCGCACACATAAGTAATTGGCATGCTATATGCAAATAAACATGACTGTTAGTTGTGGTCTCATGTTATTTCATAAGATCACCCGTTATCAATCCCTATCCTATGTTCCATCGACGATAAGCACTTCAATTGAGCTATTTAAAGCAACGTTTCATTTGATTGGGATATTTGATAATCCAATCCAGCTACTAAATTATATCAATTCAATGAAAGCAAACTATGCGAATTGTTTTGTCCAATTAAGTAACATTCAAACTGCAATAAGTTCATCTAAAGTTTAAAAAAAAGATTCTTACCTAGAGGAAAAGTTCCACCCGAAGTTAATTCTTAGTATTTTAAATAAAATAAAGAAACTGTCAACATGCCAACTTCTGTTGGAAAATATTTTAAAAATCTTCACACTTTATTATATTTCAATGAAATGTTTATTATGAAATCACCACGGATTAAAAATAAAGTTTAAATCCAGTAAACCTGCTGAACTGATTCTTTTCGATGTTCAATTACAATCGATTGAATTCTTGGATTAGCATCTTCTTCGTTGTGTACCCGATTGATCGTGAGATACAGAAAATATCGTACCGTTTTAATTGTTCCATCATTACATATTTCAAATGTCTTAAGAAATCATTGAAATAAATCTTCAAGTGTAAATGATTTTTTTTTGTTTGCATACATGAAATATTTATTCAAAAATACGTGAAACTATCTAACATTTACATCTAAAACAAATTTATACATTCACTCGTTTACTAAATATGCGATACATTTACAAATTCTCACAAAAAATCTGGGCTTAAAACTATTTCGGTTTAAAACTATCAAAAAAAGAATGAAAAATGAAAGAGAATTGATGAAAATTATTAATATTGCAGAAATGTATATGAAAAATTGTAACAATTCAAAATTTCATTGTTTATTAGTGAAAGCGAGAATTGCTGATGGTTCAATCAGTGATCCGGTAACGGAAATTTGTTGAATCAATGATCCGGTCACCGTCAAATCAATGATTGAACTATTAACAATTTTTTGAACAACCAATCCGGCAACAACAATATTTGCCCATATTTGGTCTTGAAATCAAAAAAAAAAAAACAACTTTTTTGCATCAATTAATATGATTTAATGATTTGAACAAAGATCAATGATATAGTATAATTGTAAAATGATAGGAATAAACGTAAATTTAGAAAAGAGAAAAATAAATAAATAAATGTACAAAATTTCAACAAGAAAATAATGAATTATAGAAGGAATTATCAAAATTTACACAAATTTTGTCAATAAAAAGAATATTCATTGGACAATAGCAGTTGTAGCCATTTCTTTAACACCGCAAACATTTTTACCCCGATATAATCGATAATATCCATTTTCACCCCATTTTGTACCCCAGCTATTCTTAATAATCCAATATGGCTTATTTGCTTCTTGTCCATAACCAACAATTAGGACACCATGATTTATGTGTGATGGTAAACAGAATGCTTTCCATGGATGTGAGATTCCATGCCGATAAAATTGTAATGGACCCGCGTTTACACCTGAAATATAAATTTTATTTTGAATTTAAACAAAAGTCTTTTTTCAATTGGCTGATAATTTTTGAGTATTTATTATTTGGAAATTTCTTTTTCAAGAATTTCACCCAATCCAATTGCTGTATTTCCAATCTTTTTAAAGTTACCCAATAATATTCACTGCAAATTTAAGGCCTATTCTCAAATTTGTTATCAATCTAAGGCTTAACTTCATAGTGGACATCAATTCAAGATTTAGGCTCATAGATAAATGAGGAGGATAGCATAGTATTTAAGAGCTTAGCCACATATTCTATCAATATCAATTCTAATCAATCCCTAAAAGTCCAATAACTCAAGTCAAAAACATAAATAATACACAGAGGGCGCAACATTCTTATCACTGTTATCGTTGAAGATTATAATTTACAAGAGTTGATAACAACAATCATTTAGTAATCACTCGAAATTCGATCAATAATGGTCATAAATGATAAAGTGAGAAATGATAATGTTAGCAAGTAAGAGTTTTAGTTTTAACTCCTTCTAAAGGAATAAAATTAACTTAAATAAAAATTAATGGAGAAAATAAATAAGCTAACGAATAGAAAAAAAGAATGAAAGAAAAAAGACTGACAATAAAAAGTGATATTTGAGTAAAGATATACATGAAAACAGATATGATGTTTCGAAGAAATGATATTATATTAAAAGATATGATATATTAAAATAAATTAAGGTGTTAAAGAAAGAATTGACTTGATTAAAATTTATATTATATTATTTAAATTAAATAAACTAATAGAATTATTTTTTCGGACAATTGATAGATTTTTTACAAAGAATATTTCATTATTAATGATAAAATTTCTTTTTCGACAAATATACATCATTTTTATCTTTTTTTTTCTCTTTTTTTACATTTTAAATTAGTTAATTTTTTGAAAGTTAAAATCTCAAATTCAAGGATGTGATTATTTTAAAATTTATCACAAATCTAAAAAAAAACGACAATAACAACTTAATTCCTCTCGCTTTTTAAAATTTAAATATGATTCATTTAATTAAAATTTTATGTACACAATTTAGATTTTCCATGGTATGAAAAATTATTATTTAAAATAAATTCAAGAAAATAGATTAAAAAAGGAGTTAAATTATTACTTAAAATAAATTATATGTATGAGCAAAATACAAGATGTTAAAGATGGAAATGTTTTAAAAATTAACAATGGATTTACAAATTCATGGATTTACATATTCCTCATGAGATATGCAATAATAAATGCTACAGAAACATTACTGAAAAAAATTTTTGAACTGAAATTTGTTCTATCCCAGATTAATTAGCTAGTTGATAGAGTATGTCCGTAATTAGTTAATTAACAGAATTAGCTGAGTCAATCAACGGGAGTTAATTAATGGAGTGAAAACAAACTCCTGACAATAAATTAAAAAGCATGAATGAATTTGATATCATTTGTTGCATTCTATGTTTTGTAAAATTAGCAATTTGAGATTTATGCCGAATTTTCGGTCCAATTAAAACGGCATAGTTTTTTTAATCAGAAAACTCAGTAAACCAATTTACAGTTTTCTATTTGGTCATAATATTACTCAGTAATTGGATTATGATTCATTATTAAATTATAAGAATATCAAGAGCTAATTGACAGTAATGTTTACTTTTTTTTTTTGAAACTTCAGAAGTAGATTTCAAAATTTAACAGGAAAAAAGCCAAAAACGATTAATTAACTCAAGATGATGAACTAATTACAAAATTCAACACCACTGATATTGTATCAGCTTTTTTTAAAAATCGATTTATTCCAAAATATTAATTATTCTAGTATCCATTTTTGTTAATTCGAAACTCAGTAAACCAATTTACAGTTCTCCGCTGCGTATTTTAAAATTTTATACAATATTTTTTTTATAAAATGATATATTGCAAATATTCTAAGATTAATTTTATGTGTAATTACCAAATTTTACTTATTCAATTAAATCCTAAAAAAAGAAAAAAAAACATACCAATTGAGACTGGACCTTTTTTAGCAACCCATGCTGCAATTTTAATCTCATCATCTGGTAGTTGAATCGAATCATTAATGTAAACAGCAATCTCTTTTCGTACTAAATGACATTTTTCACCATGACCATCATATGGATAATCTTTTTCTGATTCCAATCCACCCATTCGAATTATTTCCCTACAAAATAACTTTACTTGTTTTTTTTTTCATCTTCTAGCATGAAAAAAATTGAATTAATAAATTGAAGTTTAAAAAGCGAAAAAAAATTCAATCAATTACTAATTCCATTCGTTTTGCTCTTCCTTTTAGTATTATATATCAAAAGAAAAAATATAATTAAAAATTTTAATATCATAAATTGAAAAAAAATTTAACAATCATACTTGTAAGCATTTAATGGTAGACCACCTTTACATCCTTGATCAATCACATCACAATCGATTAATTCTTGCTCTGATAACGATATCAGTTTACCTTTCTTAATTGCCCATGCACCTTCAATATTACCGGTTACCGAAAATGCCCAACAACTGCCACAAGCAACCTAAAAAAAAAAAAAAAAGATAAAGAAAGGCTATAAATTGCAAATAAAAAGATAAAATAAAATTTTACTGTAGCATTTTAATTACACAAGTTTATATACATACTTTACATATTTTTCATTACTGATACATTTAACTTACACATTTGTTTACTGATACATTAACTTATACATTTGTTTACTGATACATTAACTTATACATTTGTTTACTGATACATTAACTTATACATTTGTTTACTGATACATTAACTTATACATTTGTTCACTGATACATTAACTTATACATTTGTTTACTGATACATTAACTTATACATTTGTTTACTGATACATTAACTTATACATTTGTTTACTGATACATTAACTTAT